TCAAGCTTAATGATGCGATGCCTTACCTTTACCACCCAAGAATTTCCCCTTTCAAGCTTGCATAGCACCTTACAATTTTCTCATCCTTGTCCTTGTGACATTCCAGTATAATGGTTGTATCTCCCAGTCAGGTTCTCATCCCCTTAAATAGTGGAGATGCATTTATTCTTTGTAGAGTTCTCAGAGCCTACATTGGTTTCTGGCACCACTCAACAGTACTCAGTAAATGTTGAAAAGATTGTTAAACCAGCACCAAGAAAATAAAATGCTTGAAAGACACTAATGTCTTTCCGAAGGGTGTTAGAATGTTATAATTCAGAGTCTCTTTTCTCAGTAGAATTGTCAATAAATAGCAAAAGTCCAGAGATAGTATTGCAATAGTTACAGGATGTGTACTGCAATACATGCTACTTAATATTTTTAGCACTATTACCATGAGAAGTTAAAGGTTTTGTTAGCAGTTTTAAGAAGAATTAAAATGGTATCAATTTGAGCACTAAACTGTAATTATTGATTTTATTTCTTTACCATTTAATTTTTATATGTCCTATCTGAATATGTTCAGTCAAATAATTAAGTTTCTACATTATTATTTTACTTCTGTGTTTAATTATCTGAGAAAATGTATATAAGTGATTTCATGCTACTGTGTTGTTTTTATGAGTGTCATTTAATCACTGTTTAATTTTTTTTTTTTTTTTTTGGATACAAGCTTGCTCCTCTTCAGAAGTATCTGGTAGGCAACTAACTACTTTTTAATTTAACAAAAATGATACCAAGGTTTTTATTTGTTTGTTTACAAATTGTTATGCTCCTCATAAAAGTTCTGTTTTTATAAGGTATATTGAGTTAATAAAACATTTTAGTTAAGGAAGGAAATGGTTTCTTTAGTTTTATGTTAAGTTTTCGCTATAAAAGTGATTTACATTACAGTTTCTTGAGTGATGTTTTAGAAACAGCAAACACAGAGCCGCAGCAGTGGGAGTTGTGCAATGAGGCGGGAGACAGGCAAATATGCTCCCTTTAAACTCGGTACCCTAGGTTAAGGAGTGGTTTTCGAAAGAAAATATACTACTGTAAATGTTGAATAAAATACCTGATATTTAATTGGGTATTTATGCTAGTAAGTTTATATTGTATTTTGTTCTATTTTTCTGTTTGTGTCTCTTCTACTTTTCTAACATCCATTAGAAAAGTTAAATAATGTCATGCTTTTATTATAAAGAGGTGTAAAAGATGGAGGTGACATTTATCTCGTTACAAGGAGACTGGAGAACTCAACATCTGGAGTAGTTGTAGTCTGTATAGTAATATTTTTTAAACTCTTCTTACAAAATACGAATGATAACCTCTTTTAAGCAATAGATGCTTAACTGGATGCCATGACTAACAGCATTACCTTTTTATAATAAGCAGTAATGCAGTTGATTTAACACAGAACCCAAAGTACCTAATAAATAAATTTACTAAATATAATTAATAAAGCATTCTTATTTATTGTAGAATTATATGAATAATGTGAAATAAAAGTGTGCCATACTTGAGTTTTTAGTAAATTTCCTAATGTTTAAAATGAACTTTGTAATCTAATTCTTATACTATGTCCTATGTATAAACATATTCAAAAATAATTTGAAAGTGCTAAGAATTAAGTGTTTTAATGTACTTGTGGAAATGCATAGAAATTGGCAGTTTCTGCTTGCTTCATCTCGTGAATGTGGGTAAACATTTGTACAAACCAGGCCTCAGCGAACGTAGAGATTCCATTGATGGGCTGATTTCTTTAGAACGCAGTGTGATAGACCCTTTAACACTAAATGAAGAGAAAATAAGTTCATTTGGAAAATAAAGATAGTTGAAATCTCAACTATCTCAGAAGTACACTTCTGAGAAGAAATCGTGTTGATATGTGGTATGTCCTCATTTTTGTGGTAGCTAGTTCACTCCATTATTAATCGATACGAAACAAAATATATTTGCAGAAAAATTCTTTTGTAAGATATTTTTTCCTAATCATTGTTAGCTGCTTTGTAGATAGATACCCATGATTGTGTAGCTAAGAAGTATTAGAGTCACATTCTAATTCAGTTGTACCTCAAGCTCCAAAACCTGCACTCTTTTAGGGTATCGCATTGGTGTAAATGGTAAAGTATAGATACAGCTTACGTATTAAAACACAGTAAGAAAACCAAAAAAAAGGGAGAACTTTTAATATATGCTTTATAGGGAACTCTGGATTAAATATGCCATAGTGTTTGAATTTGGCTGTCTCCCCCACCACTTACTTTATTAATTAGCTGCCAACACCTTATATCAGTAGGTATAAATATTAAAACTAACCAGAGAAAAGCATTTAGAAAGCTCAATTGACTACTGTCTAAAAATAATAAAATTCAAAACAAATACATGTAGTTCTGGGCTGCCTGTTGTTTTGGAGTTATTCACAATCCATAATGTTGTGAAGTACTTTATTTTTGGTATCTGTATTTACAAGATGTATATGTTTACAAAGAGTTAACTTTGTTCATCTTTGCATGTAAATGGTGCACCTATAAACGAGAGATTTCATGTGTCTGTGCATACTTATGTGACAAAAAGTGCTTCAGGAACAGTTTTCTTCATGGAACTCTTTAATGACATTATAATTAATGCTTATCCTTTAAAAAGAAATCTCTTTATTGAAATAATTCACAAGATTTATATCCAAAAGATATGAATCTTTGATTCATATCCATTTCTGATAACTTTATACAAGACTTTTATGAGAACCATTCTTTACTTTTTACATTGCTACTTACCAGTAAACTTGGAATACCGATGTGTACAGAGAATATTATCAAATTTCCTGAATACCCTGTTAGTGAATAAGATTAAGTAGTACCTGAAATTTTTCCTCTAGCTTATTCACCAAGTAGGGAAAAGGAAATGTCCTTCAACTTACCATCATTGGCCAATATTGCCTGTTCTTCCTTTGACCAGTCACATTTTCTTACTCCATATCTACTGATCAGGAAGTGACACGAGAAGCTAGAAGAAGATATTGGGGGATTTTTTTTTTAAACTTCAATTTCTTCCTTGTCTCCAAGTTATCTGTTAACTTGGAGAGTTTATTCTGCAACTTGATATGCAAGTTCTATAAATAGAAGATAACTAAAAATATATATTTTTAAATCAGATTTCTATTTTGGGGATTACAAGTTGTTTTTTAAAAGCCATAGTTGCATTTAGCAATAAATTGTGTTTTTAATTTATGTCATAGGCATTGTTTCCACATCAGTGCCATCCATACACAGATGTGTCTGCTCCATGACCCAAAAAATAAAATCTTACTTATAAAACCAATTGTAACAAGTACATTAACTTTTAGAAGTAGGATGACTTAAATCATCCTAAACTCAAGGAAGTGTAAGAATTTTCCACCCCCCAAATCCACCTCCAGGAGAAATTAGATCATTTTGCATAATTAGGTGCAATTATTTGATTCGTTGTTTTGGTGGATAAGATTTCCATACAATAAAGAAATTCTAATTTTAAAAATTATTTTTCTCAAACCTTCTAAAGGAGGTATTCGGAGACTATTTTAACAGCAAAATACAAATGACAGTTTATATAAAGTAGTTAAATAATGTCTGCTCTTGGTGCCTGTCATCACCATTTTGAAATCTCAGAAGATTTAGAATACCAATAGTAGCTCTTTGTCTAGGAGCAGTGTTTTGGGAAAAGTACTACACTGGGGATAAAAGGGAATAATTTTGTGTATCTTCAAATGCCTCATTTTAATAGTACTACATTGTTAGATGATCACGGCACAGAATTTGTGAGCACCTCGCTTCCACTTCTGTCTTTTCACTGTCATCATCACCCGCCACTGTCATGGTCATCACTACTGGGACGTCTGAAACAAAGGCCAGGCGGGCGCTGCTCTCGGTTCCCTCTGTATGCCTTTTACTGTTCGACCATAACTTAAATGCTACCTTATGCTATGTTATTCTTTATTTACAGATTCACATATCAGAGAAGTATTGGTAACTTTCTGAACAGAAGACTAAAATAATTATTTATTGTATATTTAGGTTTTGCTTGCATAGAGCTAACTGGGAGCAAGAGTACATATTGTTTATGCCATTTTATCTGTCTGGAATTTCTTCTCTATTACGTGTTTTTAAACACCTGATGTTGAATGTAAACAGATCATTGTTAATAACTTTGTGGAAAGCCAATGAGAAGGAGGAATCTTTTAAAATGATTCCTCATTTAACAAATCTAAAATTTCAAGCTGCAGATCTGTAAAACAATGTGGCTATTGCTAATCACTATATAAACATTTGGTTTGAATTTGCTTTACTTCACTGTACATTTAAAGTTAGTTATTAAGGCATTTTTTTTTTGCTCCACATTTAGAATGAGATTTTTAAGCTCTTTAGAGGGTTTTTTGTTTGTTTGTTTGTTTGTTGAGTTTTGTTCTGTTTTGTTTTTAAGTCTCCATGGGTATTCTTTACATGTTAGTCTGTGGTAGAGAAAACACAAATCTAATAACGTAAATTCTTACTCTTATCCCTGAAAATAACCCTTTGTCAAAATCGATTATTCTTGAAACTCTACAGATGAGTAAGTTCACATTCTCCAGATTTTTTCAGTTCTTATGTTTAAAGGCTCTGTTGTGCCTTTAAATTATCACTAATGGTTTATTTACAATGAGTATTTTGTTCTAGATTGTTCTGTCCTTTTAATACTACTTTTGTGTATGTTTTCAATTTTTTATTATTACATTTGAAATGATCAGGGTGATCCATATAGAAAGATATTAGGGAATTTTAGTAGTTTGAGAAAATGTTTGCCTCCTGTTTGGAGAAACTGAACAGTTATTTAGTGCATCATGATCGTAAACACATGTTTTATAGCAGCCATAGTGGACATGAGTCTGTGTTTTTAAAGCATGTATATTTATATGTAATATGAATATTTGTTACAAGACAATTTTTTAAATTTTTTTTTTTTAGTGAAAGAGTTTCTAGCCAAAGCCAAAGAAGACTTCTTAAGAAAATGGGAAAATCCTGCTCAGGTAACGAGTATTTAAAATTTTCTATGATTTAAAGTCCTGTGTTAAGTAGGATTTAAGTAGGCAAGACTAGATAATTTACTACTTTCAGAAACTTTAATTTTCAAGTAGCATTAATAAATAGGGTTAACATGGGAATTTTTGCCATAGCATTGTTTTAATCTATTAATTGTTTTGTGTATACATAAATTGGAGAAGGAACTAATTTCCAGTATAATACCTGATTATAAATATTGACACTAATTCCAAGCTGCTACAAACTCTTGATATTTTCTAATGTGATAGTTTCAATTTATGCCTATGCTAGCATATTTATTATTTTTATTGATTGCAACAATAGCAATCCTATTGTGCAGTTTCAAATTCATACTCACAAACACTTGGCTGTTGATAACATACCAAACACAGGGATCGTTTCATAACCATTTTCATGAGATCAGTTTTATATAATTTAAGTTCTTTAGATCTTAACTAAGATCTAGAAACTATATCTAAAAAGTCATCTATGCTTGCAAAAAATCTCTTTTTGAAGTTATGATTAACAAAATGTAATAGTGAGTTAAATTTTGAAAACCTCCTTAGCACAGAAATTTTTGACGTCAGTATTTTTTCACTCAAGAAATATTGATTTAAATAAATGTTATGCTTTATGAAGATTCCCTCATTATCAAGATTTATAGCATGACCTGTAACTTAAAACATAATCACTCAAGTGATAGATGTTATCTAACATGAAACATTAAGGGAGGCGAAGAAGATGGCATATTCTTGTATGAAAAGCAATGATTAGCAAGAAGGGATGGCCTGTGTCTACTAATGAAGTTTATTTTCATTATCTGGTTGGGAACTGTATTAACCATATCAATCCATCTGTGTTGATAAAACCAAAAATTAAATATTAATTCATAGATCTAAATAATTTAATAATAATTAGAAGGACATTTTTGTTTACATTGATGTAAAAATCTCATGGCAATTTAAAATTGGAAATTTGAAATTAAAACAAGTGATGATGAAAACAGGTTTTGTAAGTAAAAACTTAAGAGTTGATTGTTCTCTCCATGATTCATCAAGAAGCTATGCTGTGTCTCCAAACACAAGGTTTGATTTTCAGTAGAGATAAAATCCAAATACAGTGGACTTCCATAGCTGTCCAGATTCCTCACCTATACAAAAGTCATATTTTGCCACATTTTTCTGAGTGGAAATAATTTTTATAAGATTTTCATGGAGATCTTTGTAATTAAAACCTATTAAACAAGTGGGTCAGCAATTACTACTTATTGCTATTTAGCATGTAATTTGTTCCTAGTATTTTTTTATTTTGTTGTGACAGCAACAAATTCAATAGATTGATGCTTCCAGTTCTTTGCTTCTGTGTTATAGTCAAAGGCAAACAAAGATGTTTGCTTGTAACAAAGCATCTATTCAAAGGGAAAAAAAAGAGTCTGATTATTGTTCCAGGACTATGACTCTCAGTTATCTTTGTGGGAATGAGGAACTCTTCTTTCCTTATTGTTACTGTTTTAGATAATACTGGGTTATTATAACATTAGAAAGAAAGCTATAAGAATCACTCATGCTGTTATTCTCTAGTTCTGTGAGCTCTTATAAAGATAGAAATGAAGTTACATGTGCTTTCTTCAGAGGTAACTCTAGTGAAAGGACTCTGATCCCTCAGCTTATCTGTTCATTCCAATTTTTTGCAAGTGCACTAAGACTGTATAGCTTTCACGATTATCTTTGTCAGTATGCTCCTGGTCAGTTTGTAATAGTTCAAACATGAAACTAATTTGTTAGAATTCCAATACTAGGAATACATATTGGAATAGGACCTTTTAATATTTCAGCTGAAGCTCTTATTTCCTCCAGGTACTATTATGTTTTGTTTTGCAATATAATTCTCTTCTCAAATATTAAATCCTTTTTTATTCAAAGGAAAAAAATAGCACCAATAACTTGGAATCTCATTAGTCTTTTGTATTATTTTTAAATGGTTGACTATAAATTAAATTATCTGTTCTGATATTACCACTAAATCTATTACTGTTATGATAGTCTTCTTATGAGAATTTCTAATTTTAAAGATTTATTTATTTTTAGAGAGGGGGAGGGAGGGAGAAAAATGGGGAAAGAAACATCGATGTGTGAAAGAAACATCTACTGGTTGCCTCTTACATGCCCCCAACTGTGGACCAGGCCCACAACCAGGCATGTGCCCTGATCAGAAATGGAACCACTGATCTTTTGGTTCATAGGCCAATGTTCAATACACTGAGCCACACCAGCCAGAACAGCAAATTTCTCATTTTAAAGTTTATTTGATTTTTTTATGTATGTGTAGAATAATGCTGGCCTGGAAGATTTTGAAAGGAAAAAAACCCTTGGAACGGGTTCATTTGGAAGAGTCATGTTGGTGAAACATAAAGCCACTGAACAGTATTATGCCATGAAGATCTTAGATAAGCAGAAGGTTAGTGGTTTTGATTTACTTGAAGGGTAAACTTCAGTTTTATCAGCTAAATTATTAAATAGATGCAATGTAACGACTTAACCATTAACACTGTCAAATTTTATTGTTGCACTTCATTTTCATTATTATTATGACTATGATACATAATTATAGTTTTAGTATATAGGAGTACATTATTCCAATAATTATTTATATATAACTGGTATGTGTATGTTTACTAACAAAATATTGAATTTAACATGTAAGAAACAGGCTTCTCTACTACATTCTGCCTTGTGGAAAAATGCAGGAATAAATTACTTGATCATTAGGTTGAGATAACAGATATTCAGCGATTTTATGATTTATATTTTTTAATACTCACACAAGTATTTTTTAAAAAATTTTATTTATTTTTAGAGAGAAGGGAAGGGAAAGGGAAAGAAACATCAATGTGTGGTTGCCTCTTTCGTGCCCCCTACTGGGTACCTGGCCTGCAATTCACACAGGTGTGCTGATTGGGAATCAAACCAGCCACCCTGTGGTTTGCAGGCCAGCGCTCAGTCCGTTGAGTCACACCACACACCAGCCAGGGCAATTGTACAACTTACTTTGATTGACAGTAGAAGCCTTTTTGTTTAACATGCTTGCTTAATTAAAAATACCAATTAAAGCAGGTAAAATTTGAAAACCTACATACTATTAAAAATCAAATCATTATGTTATACACTTGAAACAAATATAGCATTACCTGTTGATTATGTCTCAATAAAAATTTAAAAATAATTTTTAAGTGCTTATATATATTATTATATCTAAAGAATCAGGATATCTCAGTTATTCATGCTTTATATATTAAGCTTCTATTTTTTTTAGTAATCATTTATAATTAAGGGAAAATAAAAGAAAAATGACTAATCTTGATATATTATTATACAGAGAGTATGTTCCCAAGAACAACAATATGTTGGCTTACTAGGATATATAGATGAGAAAATGTAGAGGAAACAGGGTTACAGATAGTGGCTAGACTGTTGATGCAATCTAATAAATATGAGCCACATATGTAATTTAAAATTTTCTAGTAGCCTAATTTTTAAAAAGTAAAAAGAAATAGTTGAAATTAATGTTAATAATAGATACTATTTATCCCAGTGTATCCACAATATTATCATTGCTGTACATAATTAATATAAAATTACTAAGATATTTTAAATTCTTTTTTCATAGCAAATCTTCAAAATTTGATGTGTATTTTATATTTATAATACACCTCCACTTGGGTTAGCCACATTTCCAGTGTTAGATAACCACATGTGGCTAGTGGCTACCATTTTAGACAGTACAGTTTTAAGACTGGTCTGTAGTTCTAATCCAATCTCTGCTTTATTTTTTTTCTGCTTCCCTCCCTCCCTCCCTCCCTCCCTTCCTTCCTTCCTTCCTTCCTTTTCATTTTTAGAGAGACGGGAAGGGAGGGAGAAAGAGAGGGAGAGGAACATTACTGTGTGGTTGCCTCTCACGCACCACTCACCAGGGACCTGGCCTGCAACCCAGGCATGTTCCCTGACTGGGAATTGAATCAGTGATCCTTTGGTTCACAGACCAGTCCTCAGTCCATTGAACCACACCAGCCAGGGCTCAACCTCTGCTTTAAAACAAAAATCAAAACTAACCTCTAACATTAAAGGAGTAATGGCTTTTTAGGCCTCTAAAAGTAAGTACACCCCCATGTAATTGTGCATCTTTGTCTACTGCCCTCTTTCACATAGTAACTTTTTTCTTTTTTTTAATATATTTTATTGATTATACTATTACAGTTGTCCCATTTCCCCCTTTCACTCCCTCCACCATGTACACCCTCTCCCATCCACATGCCCCCCTTTAGTTCATGTCCATGTGTCTTAAGTTCTTTAGCTTCTACATTTTCCATACTATTCTTACCCTCCCCCTGTCTATTTTCTTTTTTTTAAGATTCATTTATTTTTAGAGAGGGAAGGGAGGGAGAAAGAGAGAGAGAGAGAAACCTCAATGTGTGGTTGCTGGGAGCCGTGGCCTGCTACCCAGGCATGTGCCCTGGCTGGGAATCGAACCTGCGATACTTTGGTTCTCAGCCCACGCTCAATCCACTGAGCTACGCCAGCCAGGCCCCTGTCTATTTTCTACCTGCCATCTATGCTCCTTATTCTCTGTACCTTTTCCCCTTCTCTCCTCCTCCCGCTCCCCTGTTGCTAACCCTCCATGTGATCTCCATTTCTGTGGTTCTGTTCTTGTTCTACTTGTTTGCTTAGTTTGCTTTTGTTTTTTGTTTTAGGTGTGGTTGTTAATGACTATGAATTTGCTGTCATTTTACTGTTCATATTTTTAATCATCTTTTTCTTAGATAAGTCCCTTTAACATTTCATAAAATAAGGGCTTGGTGATGATGAACTCCTTTAACTTGACCTTATCTGAGAAGCACTTTATCTGCCCTTCCATTCTAAATGAAACCTTTGCTGGACAGAGCAATCTTGGATATTAGTCTTTGCCTTTCATGACTTGGAATACTTCTTTCCAGCCCCTTCTTGCCCGCAAGGTCTCTTTTGAGAAATCAGCTGACAGTTTGATGGGAACTCCTTTGTAGGTGACTGTCCCCTTATCTCTTGCTGCTTCTAGGATTCTCTCCTTCATTTTAACCTTGGATAATGTAATTATGATGTGCCTTGGTGTGTTTTTTCTTGGGTCCAACTTCTTTGGGACTCTCTGAGCTTCCTGGACTTCCTGGAAGTCTATTTCCTTTTTCAAATTGGGGAAGTTCTCCTTTATTATTTGTTCAAATAACTTTTCCACTTGTTGCTCTTACTCTTCCCCTTCTGTTACCCCTATAATTCAGATGTTGGAACGTTTAAAGATGTCCTGGAGGTTCCTAATCCTCTCCTCATTTTTTTGAATTCTTATTTCTCCATTCTTTTCTGTTTGGTTGTTTCTTTCTTCCTTCTGGTCCACTCCATTGATTTGAGTCCCAGTTTTCTTCCCATCACTATTGGTTTCCTGTGCATTTTCCTTCATTTCACTTATTGTAGCCTTCATTTTTTTCATCTAATTTGCAACCAAATTCAAACAATTCTGTGAGCATCCTGATCACCAGTGCTTTGAACTGTGCATCTGATAGGCCAGCTACCTCTTGGCCGCTTAGTTGTATTTGCTGTGGAGGTTTGATCTGTTCTTCCGTTTGAGCCATTTTTTTTGTCTTGTCACGCCTGTTATGTATGAGGGGCATAGCCTTAGGTGTTCACCTGGGCAGAATAACCCAGTTGCTGGGTTGTGGTACTGTATTGGGGGGAGGGTCTGAGAGGGAACAATGGCTCTTGCTCCGCTCTTGGGTCTGATTTCAGTCCCTTCCGTTGCTTTCCCCCAAGCTAACTGGGCCTTTCTGATGCTAATTCCTGTGTGGGTGGGCTTGTGCATGTTCTAGGACCCTGTAGGTCTCTCCAATGAACTCTCCTGTGAAGCTGGGAGTCCCTTCCCGCACCTCAGCCCCCTCAGGTGTTTTCAGTCAGTGCCCTGAGGCTCCATTTCCTGGTGCTGGGACCCTGGGTTGCGCGGTCAGTCTCACTGCCCAATTTCACTTGGTGTATCTGCGTGTGAATGTGGGACCACCCGGACAGCCAGGCGCCTTGCACGCAGTGCCTTGCTTCACAATTGCTGCCTCGCTGAGTCTGCCAGCTGCCTGCGCACCCAGGGTCCACCTGCTGCAGTCTTGTGCCTGGGATGCCTTACACGCTGGGTGCCGCTGCTTTTTGAGCCGTGACCCCTCTCTGCCTAGCTGCCCAACTCCTCCCCTCCTACCAGTCTGGTGCATGTGTCTATTTTAACTCCTTGGTTGTCTGACTTCCATGCAGTTCGATTTTCTGTCAGATCTGGTTGTTATCTTGTTTCTAAATTGTTGCTGACCTTATTTTGGTTGTGTGAGGAGGCACAGTGTGTCTACCTACGCCTCCATCTTGATGGGAAGTCCCACATAGTAACTTTTCTAACCATGATTCTTGAAAAAATAGTTTAGTCACTTTATACACTAACTCACTTTCTATTAATTATTTAATCCACAATAATTTAGCTGCCTCCTTGTTTATCGTCAATATCTTGCTACTCTACTAAAATGTCTCTGCCAAGGGTCATCAGTCCAGTGGCTTAATCACCAAGTCCAGTGGACTCTTTTTGCTAGTCTTATGTGACTTTTTTAGAGTTTACGCTGTGTTGACTTTTCCCTTGACACTGTCTTGTGCCTGGCCTTCTGGGTCCCTGTGCTCTTCTAATTACGCTCCTAACTGCTTGGACTCTTCTTTTTTATGTGCCTTTTTCTGTTTAGTTTTATTTTTTTCCCTTCTGTCTACTCACTAAAGGTTGCTAATCCCAATATCTGGACTATTCCTTCTCATTTTTGTGTTCTGTACAGTCTCCCTATGTACTCTTACCCAAGCTTCAACTCACCCTGGAGCTCTATACTCCAATTTGTACAGGCTGAGCTTGGAGCTCTTAGAGAGCAACTAGTTCTTGTCCTAATTTTTAGATGAGGTAATTGAGTCTCAGAGAGGATAAATGATTTGTATACTTGTGGTAGCAGTTCAACAACAACAAAATGCTTCGAATTTATGCTTTTTATTAAAATTGTCATTAAAATATATTGTCTCTATAGCCCCTAATATTTTATGTTATCTTTCTTAAGGAATTAACAGAATGTGTTGTAGTCATAAAATATTTACAAAAAGTACTTTTATACTTGAAAATATATAAGGGAGAATTTTTAAAATTCTTTTTTGGTAAGACAGTGACTTGTTAAGTAAGTTACTGAGAAGGCTGCCTTGGGAATAAAGCATGATGAAAGAGTACTTCCCAGAATAACAGCCGCCATTTTAAGTCATTTCTCTATGGCAGCGATTTTCAGCTGGTGTGCCGCAAGAATGTTTAAGGCATGCAGTATCTGACTACTTAGGGGCACTGACCCCTTATCCCTTAGATCGTCAAATGAAAAAATGACAACAGCCAACACAATAGCCATCCAGTGTGAATGAATAAAAATTATACTTATTTTTTTGTCAGATCAGCAAACAATATTTTTTTGGTGTACTGTAGAATTTTAGCAATTAGTTTATGTATACCATGAGATGAAAAACATTGAAAATTGCTGCTCTATAGCAATGTTCTGGGTCTATTTAGAATTAAGACAAAGACTATATTCTGATTTTTTCAAGTTTATTTAATTTGCTAAAACAAAGTAATAAAATAATGCTCCATCATCTTCTTTTCTGTTAATAAAGTTACATATCTTTTAATTAGCTCTTTTTTGGCTTCTCCTATTTTAGGGTGTATGGAGTTAGGGGAAGAAAATCAGTACAAAAATTAAGGAAATCCCATTTTTTATTCCATACTGTGTGTCAAGCATTGCAAAGCACTTTATATTTATTGTATCAGTGAATCTTTACACAAACTTTGTGTGACATTAATCTCCCACTTAAAACAATTAAGTAATTTTTTTCAAAGTCAAGCACATAGCAAGAGAAACCAAGAATTTGACCTAGGTTTTTCTCATTTCTATTCCTATACTCCTTATTAATTTTTCCTTTCAAATGTTTTTGTTATTCCTAAATCTTTTCTGCCACTACCTACTTTGTCCATCACTAATATTAACTGTGCTTTCACAATAACATCTTCATTAATTTCCACAATATCAGTTTTTACCTTCTACTGATTCACCTTCTTCATTGTTAATAAGTTCTTCTTACTGTAACATATCATCTCACTTACTCAGAAAGCTTCCTGATGTTTATTCAATGAAGTCAGAATTCTGCAGCCTACTTTCAAAGCTTTCTTAGTTTTCTTCCAAACTCGAGTCTTATCTCACACTATTCCCCTCCACGTCCTCCATACTCTACTCCTTTGCCTGAAATGACCCATAGGAGTATATGCTGGGTCAGGTAGGAGAGTATGTGATGATATATGACCTACCTTCCTTATTAATAACTCCTCAAGTGCTTGGCTGAAAAAATAAGTCTGCTGATAAGTAATCATTTATAAATGCTTTTAAATATATGTATTTAAACCAACAGAAATATTAACAAGTGAATATAAATGTTATATAAATTTTGAAATAAAACATGGACAAAAAATCCCAGGGGTGCTTGTTAATTTTCCTCTGTCATTTAGGGATACTTCATTACCAAAACATGAGCGGCACTGTCCTAAGCTCTAGCCCAATGGAACTAGCACTCTGACTTACCTTTGTATACTTGCCCCTCTGAACACTTATGACATACCTCTCATATGGCAGTTGTCCTATGTTGCTATTCACATATTCATGTATCATGCATCCAAATAGATTTTATGCCACATGAAGGCAGACATTCTCTTGGCTTTATCTCTGTTGCACTTATGTCTTACATGTAGTAGATACATTTAAAATTAAAGTAGATTTTTGTTAGTTAGATTTTCAATTAAGTTAATTTAAAAATTAAGCATATTTGCTTTGCCAGTTCATATAAATATCTTGGAATCATTCCTATTTTTAATTATGTCCCACATATGCATGTGGTACATTCAGACAATGGATATTATTCAGTGCTAAAAAAATGAACTATCCAGCCATGAAAAGACATGAAGGAGACTTAAGTGCATATTACTACGTGAAAAAAGCTGCTCTGATAATGCCACCTACTGTATGATTCCAACTATATGACATTCTAGAAAAGGAAAAACTGGAGACAATAAAAATATCCATGGTTGCAAGGAGGTAATGGGGAGGGAAGGATAAATAGGTGGAGTACAGAGGGTTTTTAGGGCAGTGAAACTACCCTGTATGATATTGTAATGATAATACATGTCATTGTACATTTGTCCAAATCCATAGAATGTAGAATACCAAGAGTGAACCCTAACGTCCACTGTGGACTCCCGGTGATCATGATGCATCAGCGTAGGTTCATTAGCTGTAACTGATGGGCCACTCTGGTGGGGAATGTTGGTAGTGGGGGAGGCTATGCATGTTTGGGGGAAGGAGGTTTTTGGGAAATCTCTATAACTTCCACTCAGTTCTACTGTGAACCTGAAACTGCTAAAAAATATAGTCTATTGAAAAATAGTAAACACAAAGCAATACTAACCCTCCAGATAGAGTTATATAATTTATTGTGATATGTATGGACTAATTGGTTCTGTAACTAGTTAGAGTACAGACAGTGCTGATCTAACCACTTCATGTTACAGATAAAATAAAACAAACAAACACACAAAAAAAATAAACCCTGATCCTGATATCTTAAGAGCTGAAGTTACATTTCCAAAGTCACAAAACTGGTTGAATAGAAGACCTTGATTAGAACACAGATCTTTTTACTCTTAGTCAAATATTTTCATGCTATAATTTGTATACTAATTACTGGATGATATCTTTAATTGCCTTCTTATCCATGTTCAGCTTCATGAATTCTGTCTTTACCCCACATTGACAATAAGTCTTTATAAAGAAAGAGTGCCACTTTCTAATGATTTATACACATACAAGACAATTATTTATATCTCCCTAAGATCAACTTTTCTTAAATTAAAAAAAAGAATCACATTTGGGGTAGAATCGTGTTCTTCATGAAGTCAGGATAAGCTGCTTCTCCAGCTATGTCCGTAATTGAGTAGACAATCCAGTAGAAGCTTGATTGATCCTAAATGATCTGTTTGTTATAAAAATATAGGCATTTTTTTACCAGTATTTGGTGTGTCCTCTTTTGTGGCTTTGCAAATTGAATTTTTGGGACTTGTCCTTGTGTTTATTCAGGTATTATGAAATGAACAGATTGTTCATTTTTACCTACTGTTTTTCAGTTATTGGCTTTTCCTCAATTCTTTCTTTCTTTGCTGATCTGAGGATTTAAATCAATATCTACATAATACAGTGATTTGTGCTAGCTCCTTTAGTAGGCTGTAAGTCATTAAGAGCTAAATATTTTAACATATGAATTTTTTAAGTAATTTATCATGAGTCTAATTCTTCTTAGCTCTTGCTTCCTTACTGAAAATCATGCTGTAATATCTGAAGACCAAGTTTTAAATTCTGTGTAAGGTTTTTTCAGTTGAATCTGATAAGCCTCATTGGTAGTTATTACTAGCATCCTTGTGTGACTCTAGAAATTTTGTTTGATCTAAGTTCATTATCATATGGAAAACATTTATGTAATTTTCTTCTTATACAATGATAGTAGGTTTTAAATTTCGTTTAAATTGATTTAATATATTTATCTTTCAATTACAGGTTGTTAAACTGAAGCAAATAGAGCATACTTTGAATGAGAAAAGAATATTACAGGCAGTGAATTTTCCTTTTCTTGTTCGACTGGAGTATTCTTTTAAGGTAAATTTTATTAATATTCAAATAAAATATTTTTACCCTCATAATTTTTCAAAATATAAAGCTATAATAGGATTCTAAACCAGATGTAAACCTGGAAAATGTTAAAAAAAACAAGTAAATGTATTTAGATTTTACGTAATTAAATCCTATTGTATATATAAATTTAGGTAACATTTAAAAAGGTTTTAGTTCTCCCTGGGGAATTGGCGAAAGGCAATGTAAAATTATTTATAAGATGGTATTATAAAATCAAATATTTCAGTGTATCAGAATCCATAGTGATATTTTAATAAAGCAATTCTTACATTCCTGAAAACGAGTACACCTATATACCTTCTTTTTCTCCTGAAACTTTTCTGCCTAAGTCTCACTATCTTCTTTCTCCTAGTAGTTTGTACTCTAGTTTTTTCATTTATATGAGTTAGAATAGACTTTCACCCTCTCCTCAAGTGTCTCCTAAACTTGCAAAAGATCTATTCTGTAAATTGTCAGCTTTTTAGTTCCTTCGACTGACAGTCGGCATTTCTCTGCGATATTCATTCATAAGAAATGTTTTAGTCTTTTTTTGCTTTTTCCTCCTTTATTCTTTAAATCAGATAAAGACCTAGTGAATTCCTGATGGTGTTAACAATCATTAATTTCTCTGACCTAAGGTACATAAAATGTAAATATTTTTTAATAACTTTTTCAAATTGTTTTTTAACCTAGTTATTCCTTTGCATACACTATAACATTAAGTTATTGCCACACTGTTTACTCATTTAAGAGTTAAATGTTCCCTGCAAGAGCAAGAATAACAAAAATCCCAGAGTAAATTGTAGCAAGAATATGGAGGATGGGGAAGAAGGATGAGGAGGGAATGAGGGCCCCAGTGTAAAAAAAAGTGAGAGCATTTTCTATTTATTCTCTGTTTCTATTTGTTCTCAGTAATCTATCAGGAGGATTTTTAAATTTGCCTTTTTCTAATCGAACATGGCATTATCTTAAAATATTTTTTGAGAAATCTTAGTTTCATAATTTTGTTTTATTTATCCTTTGTATTTGTTTATAGGATAATTCTAACTTATATATGGTTATGGAATATGTCCCTGGGGGTGAAATGTTTTCACATCTAAGAAGAATTGGAAGGTTCAGGTAACTGATGCTTTATTCTCCTAAAATCTTGCTGTGTATTTGTTTTAGACCAAATTTTTAAGTTATTATCAATGCTAAAAATTTATTTCATTTTATTTAGTAATATTTTAGTATATGAAGAATTATGTGGAAACATTACTAAGAGGCTACATACTGAGTTTTAAAAATCAAATAAAAGCACTATGATAGCAGTGTAAATATTCTACCATTAGTATTATTTGAAATTCATGATTTGAAGAATTTCCAGAAATGCCAAAAGTAACTGAATATAAACATAACAGTATTTATTAAACAAATATTAATTACACAACTCTAGGGAAGAGGTATGTGTAAGGATAAAGATAAAAAAGCAATATATAGAAAAGGTGATAATAGTATAGTAATGAGGTTATGAAAGTTTTGCACATATTTAATTCTCTGTAGTTTTTTTTCTATGTTGAGGTTAAAATACATACATAATTTTAAAAGAGTTTGTACCTCATGAGATTTTTTACTAATAAAGTCACACAGCTGTTAAAACAGACTACAGATTGTTATCTTTACCCATTTGTAATAGTTTATAAGCTACTACTGTTCACTAATAATCAGTAATGGAATGAAACTGAAACCAATATCAGGTACAACTTCATTCAGCACATTATATATTGGCGTAATTAACACGTAAGTATGAGTTCAAACAGGACTTATGATGGTAATTAGATTCACAAAAATATGATAGACTTGGATTATCATGACAGTTTATTCAGTAGTGGCCAACATTAGAGCTGTTTTAGTTTCCTGAGGTCTAAGCCAGTATTCATTTATTGACATAATATATACAGGGCACCTAATATGTCTCAGGCACTATATTAGTGCAAAGTAACTTCTTTTTATCTTTAGTGATTTTTTTTTCATCTCATATTGTCCTTTTATCCTACTACCTCTTGTCCAGGCAGGCCCAGAATCCTCCTATTGCCCTATAATAACTCAAAGTTTTACACCAAAGAACCACACCTACATCTGTCTTCAAAAAATAGAGCATTATGCTAAGTGAAATAAGCCAGGTGGCGAAAGACACATACCACATGATTTCACCTATGACAGGAACCTAATGAACAAAACAAACAAATGAGTGAAATAGAACCAGAGACATGGAAACAAGGAACAGACTGACAGGGACCAGAGGGGAGGGGGAAGAGATATGGGAGGAAAGAAGGAGAAGAGCCTAGTAAAGGAACAAGTACAAATGTCCCATGGGCAACAGGGTGGGAATTGACTGTGGAGGCGGGGAGGCAGGGCAGGGGAGAGCAATGGGGAGAAATTGGGACAACTGTAATAGAACAACAATAAAAAATGATTTAAAAATATATTTTGTCCATTTTCTTTAATTACTAACTTATTTGCAACTCCCATACTTTTATTTCTTTAATAGTTGACTTGGTACTAGGAGGAAAGCATATTGATTGACATAATTCATACTGAGGCACTATCTCTTCTAACCGTTCACACACACTACACATGGGGTTGGGCAAAAGTAGGTTACAGCTGTCAACATGCAAAACACAGAGTTTATTCTTATTATTTATTAATTATTGTATTATTTTCCTTATGAACAACTGTAAACCTACTTTTGCCCAGTCCTGTATACACTTGAAAGATTGCTAACTCCCATCTTAGAAATTCTGAAGCAACAAGACTACTGAGTTATTGTTGAATATAGCTCTAACCAGAATCAGTGGAATCGTTGATTCTCCATTACATAGCATCTGTCTAGACTTCAAGCTACTTTACATTAAATTTTCCTATAGAATATTTTGTCACCTTTCAACAATTCAATTATAGATCTATGTACTGTGTTTCCCCAAACACTGGTGTGTAGAAATAAATATAAAGTGCTGAATGTAGCTTATATTTTTATGATAAATTTATATTTACTTATAAGATGGTAAGTGCATCTTACACTTACAGAGAAAATAGTAGAGACATTCACAGACAAAATGTTTCAAAGTTTAGGAATGACTGGCCAAGGCAACTCTTCTGGTCTCCCTGCACAGTGTCCTCCTGCCTTGTAATTGTTTATAGGATGCAGATTGTTACAGTGTTGAGGTGGAGCTGAAACTGGAAGGGTATTATAAAATATTGCTCCCAAGTGTATTTTTCTTTTTTACATTTATTCATTCAACAATATTTACTGAGCACCTGATGTGTATCAGTCTGGGGCCTAGGAAATGTAGTAGCAAGCGAAAAGAGCAGCATAGATAATCTTGGTTTGGAATCTCTGTTTCTGGTCCCACTAGATCAAATTCATGCCAGCCATCTTGAGGGAAATCCTGTTCATAGTTAAGGTTGTTCATTGATGACACAAATCTGAAAGTCATTGCAATTTGTCAGGCAGATTAGCAGAATTTGGTGTGTGCCCTAGAAGATGAAATATAAACTCAAACTAAAATGTCAGTACACCCTCAGAATAATTCTCAGAATGTGGCATCAAGATCACACTGACCTAATCTGTGCTTGTAAGGACTGTGCACATTTACACAAATGCACAGCTTATTCCTGTGCTTGTATGTCTGTGTAAACATGCACAGTAGAATGTTTGGGAATTCAGATACCAGGATCACATCTATGGCTTCTGGATGGGATTAAGAATGTCTTGTTCTTCGTTACTACTTTATGAATTTTTTCTATAATGAGCATATATCATTTTTGTAATAGGAACAGCCTAGGTAAATGGCATTAATCCACAGATTACAGTTAAAGATCTTTTTAACTATTGCATTTAAAGATCTCTTTATATAATAAAATTCTTTAAGCACTTGAAATTTATGAGAGGTGTAAATGGAACGTATCAACAGTAGCAATGGTCTAATCGGCACATTTGCTTTTCAGTCATCCTCAAGGTCAGACAATTATTAACACATCAGTACCTTCTACTATGGCCAATAATAATTTAAAATATGATGACAATTGGACCAATGTATGCTGCTCACTGAGTCTATCAAAGCATCATCTGAAGATAATTTAGAGATTTAAAATGTTAGAAAACTAACAAGATTTGTTACATATGTTTAAAAGAGAAAACATTTTTTACTTCCAAAATACTTCAACCCCATATTAATTTTTTTGTATAACCTACTAATTACTATGTGTTAACCCATTTTACAGAAATCCAATGTTTTGTCTCTTTGTAGCGAACCCCATGCACGGTTCTATGCAGCTCAGATAGTGCTAACATTCGAGTATCTCCATTCACTAGACCTCATCTACAGAGATCTGAAACCTGAGAATCTCCTAATTGACCACCAAGGTTATATCCAGGTATGAACTGAACATACTGTACTTGAGAAAGTACTAGGTAAAAAAGTTACATGTATTTGACAACTACCAATATTAGAATTTTGTCTTTGAGGAGAAAATTACCTATCCCTAATAACTTCAACACAGTTTACAGGTCCACTGCTATTACAAAGAACAAAAAAATACCATGAAGGATAGTCCTTGTTTATGTCTCCTGTAATCTGTACTTGTGAACTGACCACAGGCTCTTGCATAAAGAATTAGTAATAGCTGAATTTGTGAGCACTCATTTAGTGCCACGCGCTATTCCAAGTGTTTTTATATGTATCATCTCTTTTAATCCCGATAACATCATGAAGGGTAAAGACTGTTGTTATCCTCATTTGAAGGCTGATGAAACTAGGCACAGCAGGATCACACAGGTGGTGTCAGGGCCTAGTTAAGGGACATGTATAAAGGACCCAGGGACAATGGACAACAGGATGGGGATTGACTGTGGGACTGGGGGGTGGGTGGGGCAGGGGAGAGCAATGGGGGAAAATTGGGACAACTGTAATTGAACAACAATAAAATAAAGTAAAGGAAAACAAAAAGGAATTGAATCTAGACAATCTGTCCCTGGAGTCCACGCTTTTTAACATTACAACACAGCTGCCAAAGGGTCCCCGCCTACCAATGCTGGATTGGAGGCGGTGTTTTCATTCCACTTCTGCTGTTAATAGAGTGGGGGGTCCCTTTGGACAGTTAACAGATTTCCCCAATGACGGTTTCACCCTTCCGATAATACAATTAATGGCAGAGCACATACTGGATTTAAGGGATACTTCTAGTGCTGCTTCATTTTTATGAAGACCACTTCTGTGGTTCATTTGCTTCTTTGTGTGAGTCAAGGAAAGGTTATTTAGCATGGGTTGTTCAACTACATTCACTAAACAGTGGCCCTCAGGGATTAGCCTCAATTCCATTGAATTACTTTGTTTTTTTCCTGGTTTTAATTTTAACTTTGATTTTAAATGTTCAACTTCAATACAGTAAATGCATTTCTTGTGAAATAATAACATTCACAGTTTTTCTTTTATAGGTCACAGACTTTGGGTTTGCCAAAAGAGTAAAAGGCAGGACTTGGACATTATGTGGCACTCCAGAATATTTGGCTCCAGAAATAATCCTCAGCAAGGTATGTTCACACTGTCGTTATGTAAGAAGTAGAAATACAAAGCATGCATCCATGTGGATTTAAGAGATAACATGGTGACAGAATAAACACCAAGACTTATAAAATGTATGTATTTTGTAAAAGTAATAGATGTTCACTGTACAAAATTTGGAAAATACAGGAAATATAGAAACAATTAAAAACCTATAATCTCACAGTCTTTTTTTAAAAAAAAACCCTAATACATTTTACATGTATGTTATCATAGTTGAGATATAGTGAATGTACAATTTTTTATTAGCTTTTTTCACTTGAATGATATGAAGCATGCAAACATCATTTAATGGCTTATTTGCAAATATAACCACAAAGTATTTTCACCATTCTTCTATTGTTGAATATTCTGGTTGTTTCCTTTTTGACTTTTTCCTGTTATTAATAGCTATGATAAATAGCTTATGCATCTTTGTGCATAAGCTTTTTCTTCATTTCAAGTTTTTTTTAGGACAAAGTCTTAAAAGTGAAATTAGTGGGTCAAAGAATATGAACATTCTTCAGGCTCTCCATATATGTTGCCAAAGTGCTTTTCAAAAAGATAGTAACATTTTGTACTCCTACCAGCAGTACATGAAAGTGCCTATTTTACCATACTCTCTCCAGCATTGGGTATTCTTGTTTTTTAAATCATTACAAATTTAATAGGCAATAAATGATATTAAGTCTCATATATTCATTAGATTTTTTAAATACAGCCATTTGGCATTTCTTTGTATGTGTATGAATTGTTATTTCATGTCCTTTGCCCATTTATTGTAAGTTAGGTTTTCTTATTGATTTGTGTTCATTCTGTATACTTAGTGTATTAAAAGCATCTGGCACATTTGTTGTGAACATTAGCATACAACCTGAAACATAGAAACCAAAGTTTAGTAATAATGATCTGGTTCAACATTATATGCTTTCATTATAATGAAAATATTGTAATGAATGACAGCATTAGTGAGTTAAAAGAGTTGAGCAAAATTGATGCCCATTTCCATTAATAAAACAAAGTGCTATTCCTATTATACTAGCCTTTCCCTTTAAAAAAAATACAAGAGCAGAACAAAAAGGAGAAGAGAATCTCTGCATTGTAGTGTCATATTTTAGCTAATAATTTAAAAACTAAATAATTTGCAAAGCCAAAACTTTAAGAAAAGACTGAAATGTGGGAAGTAGTAAAGGTAGGACATCTTTGACCAAAGATCTGGCAAGAAGTCAGCTCATTCCTCTCCATAATGGAGTTATTTTTTATCATCTTTTGTGCCAATTGACACTGATCATGGTTGATAACAAACTTCATGTAAACATGTTAATATTTTATTTTATTTTATAAATACTTCTACATCTTAGTTTCAATAAACAACCCAATTGAAAACACCCTTATGGTAATTTCAGGGGAAAAGGGGAAGGGTTTACAGGAACGAGTATAAAGGACACATGGATAAAAACTAGGGGCGGGTGGAAATAGGAGGGAGAGGGGAGGGTTGGGTGGGTGGGTTGGGATGGAGTAAAACATAGAAAATTGTACTGCAACAACAATTAAAATTTTAAAAAGATTAAAAAAAAGAAAACACCCTTAGATTGTACTTTTGGGTCCCAGGCCCTCTCAGTGAGTGTGCTGCTGCAGCAAGCACACTCGCGCACGTTCCACACCCGTATTTCCTTCCATTTGATGTCGTCCTCATAAAACCCCATGCATTGTCTTTTCTGTGTGCCTTCTAGAGATGAGAAGCAGAGCAATAGATAGCTATAGTAGAATGCACTTAAATATTTATATTTATAAGGTTCCAAATTAAGCATTTAGCTTTCATGAGATCCTGTGAAGTAGATGGGATTATCTTTAGTATATTTGCCATCCTGTAATCCAACAGTAAAGCGTATTTTGAAGTCAACTCCACTATTTATTGTGAAGTTCAATATCTACTATTTTGTTTTAAAAGTTTTGACATTCCTAAGCATTCTCCAGAAAACCTGGTTCATAACACCATAAACCTGAAATGGGCTTTAAGAGGTAATTTGGTCCTTCTCCCTATTGTTGAACAGCAACTAAATTATCCCAATTTAAGGGGAAAGGTCAAGTCAAGGAACATGTATAAAGGACCCATGGACAAAGACAACAGGGGTTGAGGGGGGACTGAATGTGGGTTGTGGGGGATAGATAGGGCAGGGGAAAGTAATGGGGGGGCTGGGGACAACCATAAATGAGCAACAATAAAAGTAAAGTAAATAAAATAAGGAATAATTTATTTGTCCATAATATTCTTAATGATTTTCTAAAGGAGATTTAATAATATTTTCTGATATTCAATTTCAATATTGGGAAAGTCTCCCCTAATTTAATTTAAACTTGACCTGGTACATTTTATATCGGGTCATTGTTTCATTCTGTCCCAAATAACTCCAACTGCTTTTAAAAAAGATTGCCCTAACTAATATGGTTCAGTTGGTTGGGCGTAGTCCTGCAAAGCAAAACATTGCTAGTTTAATTCTCAGTCAGGGCACGTGCCTGGGTTGTGAGTTCAATCCCTAGTCAGGGTGCATGCAAGAGATGATCAAAATAACTCTTTCACATCAATATTTCCCACCACCTCTTTCTACCTTCCTTCTCCTCTCTCTAAAAATGAATAAATAAAATATTTTTTTAAAAAAGAAGCATTTAAAACTAAAATAAACCATAAAAATTTCCTAGGCTTGAAGGTCCTTTTGAAGTCATATATGACTTCACTCTCTGCTGAGGGAATTACTAATTGACGTTGGGTATGGTTTCTCTTAGGGCTACAATAAGGCAGTGGATTGGTGGGCATTGGGAGTGTTAATCTATGAAATGGCAGCTGGCTACCCCCCGTTCTTTGCAGACCAACCAATTCAGATTTATGAAAAGATTGTTTCAGGAAAGGTAAGTAATACATTTTATTATTCCTCTACTATTCATTATTTCTATACAGGAATTTTAAGCTTTATAGATTGAAGCCATTTGATATTATATTATCCTAAATTCAGAAAAATACGGAAATATCCAGAGTTGCTGTCCTTGTAACGGACATTCACTAAAGATAACAGCATAAATGTTACATTATCAAAGTTTCTTAAGAAAAAAGAGACAGTTTTATAAACAAATTAGCAAAATAATAAAACCTTTTCCATTTTTAGTACTTTTATCACTTGCAAAACACAGCATTATAACCCATAGCTTGCTTCAAATAAGTAAAAATTGTTAGTCATTTCATGTAGATATCTCATTGGAGAGATGTTTTAGGGGCTTTTTTTTTATGTGCTCTTGCTTTTTTCAGGAGAGACTTCTTGTTTGAATTATGTTAGACACCACAAAGTTGAAAGTAAATATAAAATATTTTTAAGATAGAAATTCATAGAAATTATGTAAATAATTATTCCTGTTCATTGTGATAATTGCCATTTACTTTTAGCAAGTATGGAAATAACATTAATTTTTCTTGACCATGTGTCAAGTAAATGCTGCGCCACAGTATTTTACATTTTGTGATTACTCCATAAACCTTCTTTTACATTTATAATCCTTAGTTTTGTTTCCAGTAGTATTTGTTTAGAGTTAGTCATTCGCTCTTTGCCTTGGCCCAGACCTCAGGTCTTTTAAAAAAAAATACTACAGTCAATTTTAATAGAGATGAGACTGTTTCTTCCTGCCATACAGCAAGAAAGGAGTAGGCTTTTTAGAATTCCCAGGAGGATGCCTTCTATATTTAAGGTAAAGTTTATGGGAAAATTTTCTTATTTTCCCTTTTTGCTATTCTTACATGCAGTATATTCTGTTTCTTTGTGGGTTTCTGTTTTGTTTTGTTTAGATTATTTGGCCCCATTTAGAATATGACCAGGAAATAGAGCGATAATTTTGACATGGCATTACCTTGAGATGTGATGTAGTTGACTTTTTTGCATTCTACCTTTGAATGCGGAAATTAGCCTAATAGACCTAAAAAATTTGGAGGAGATAGAGGGGAAAGTCTCGATTTCTTTGTATCGCAGCCAGGTTTACACACTACTTTAGTGTGAAAGCTGATAGTCAGGACCAATGAACTTAAAATTTACAGTCTTAAAAGTTACAATGTTAAGAAGATAACCTAAAAGCCAATAATCTAGTAATTTATCTTCTTTACCAGGACCCAAATTTAAATCACCGATACTGCATAGCTTGGCTGTGAGAATAAGACTCCAATAAAATGAGTCTGTCCGCAGACCCCAGGTCTTCACGCTCTGTGTTCCGTGTCTAATGGTGCATGTACCATCTGCTGGGGTCAGAGATTGTCCGTTATATTTCAGTGTATTTTATGAGAGAAGTTTTATGAAAAATAAACCTATTGCAGATAAGGAAACTAAAGCTAGCCATTGAAAAATTTACAGAAAGGCACAATGACGCATTTTAAGTAGTTAAGTACCAGTGCTATATCCTTGTTACTTTTGTAGCTCTCTAGGCTTCAGGTTTCTTATATTTGAAATTGTTTTCACTAAGCAGAATATTGAAGTAACAGTAAAAGAATATTTCAGTGGAACAAAAGAAAACATCAAAAAATATTAGACAAGGAAGTGATTTATTTTTTAAGAATTTGAGAAGTGATTATGTAAACTCTCAAGAGACAATAATGAGAGAACTAAAATATACTTAAATCACTGATGGGAAGAAGTACATTTTACCAATACAAAGACTAAGAATGCAGAAATAGTAATAATTCCAAATAATTTAATCGTTGGTAATTACGAAGTTCCTGAATCTTCATTGCTTTTATTTATGCTTAAATTTGTAAAAGGAATCAAATTATTGGACAAGGATGATGTCACAAGTAAATTTTATTACTTTGAAAAATTACTTTAGTAAAAATGAATATATATTCATCTGTATGAATTGGCCTCAGTTTGCCAATCATTCTATATTGCATAAAATTTTTCAGCTGTTTATGAATATGTTTTTATTTCATATCAGACTTTAACATTTAAGATCCAATATTATCTTAAAATTTAAATCAGCATATATTCTAGAATCTTAACAGGTTAAAATTGGTCACCTTATAAGAGTAGCAATATAATATATCACAGTATTTGATTTTTTTTTAATTTATTTTGAAATATGATAGGGTGTTTTGCTTTTAATTAAAGGTGCCAGATTGCCTCTCCTCATATTGCACATAGAGTTATTTACATTCCTTGTTCCTTTCCTCAGTTAAAGTAGAACTCATAAAATCAGAATATCACCATTACATGATCTCTAGGTTCTATATTACGTAAATATAAAATCATATTCATAATTTCCCAACACAACCATCTGTTTCAGCACTCAGATCCATACTTGAACATCTCTCTCTCCCCACATTACAAAAATGTCCCTCTGCTTAATAGCTAAAATCCAAATAGGAGACTAACTAGTTTTTAATATTTTAAAATTGTTCAAGTTATTAAAAATTCCATTATGGCTTTTTATTTATGAATCCTATTTGCATTTACATTTTTAATGGTTTTAATGATGCAATATATCATGTAAAATATACTTCTTATTTAGAATTTTTTCTAATTTTTAAAGCATATGCAGCAAAAAATAAGCATATGCTTATTTTATGCAGCAACATTTTATGTTGATTGTATCTTCTATTCTGAAACCATGTTATAAAGATTATAGGTATCTATGACTTATCCAAGTTAAAATGTATTTAATGAAGTGATTAATTCACTAAAATACATATATTTGAGCATTAGATTGTTAATTACTTTCTCTATTACAGTATTGTAACTCAAACTGGTATTTTTAAATATACAGAAAAATGATCAATCAGCTTGTTAGATTCTCTCCTACACATATTTTGCCTTTAAAAAACAAAGGAGGAGGTATTTAAATGTCAAATTATTCATGTAATATTAAGGTTCGGGTTTAAAAATGCAGTTAATAGAAAAGTTTTATAATTCCCAAATTAACTATGCCTCATCCTAACAATGACTGTGCTTAGTTTCTGTAGTATTTAAATTTCATGCCTCAGTGCCATGTACTTTGTGACAAGAATCAGTTCTGGTTTCCACAGCAACTCTATCTGGCTGAATTACTCTTGGAAACATGAAAGTCAATATTGTGTTCAAAAATGATACTTGCGAATAAGGCAGTCAAGTAACAGCTGTTATGGAAACCACAACTTTAGAGCCCTTGACTTATGTAATTTATTAAAATTGTTAGCTTCCTTGTATATAAAGTAAATATTATTCCACTTTTAATGAGCATCAGAAATGTACAAGGAAACAGGATACAAAATACAAAGTTTTAAACATCTGTGTACATAGGAAATCGAAGAGTTTTGGTTTATTTTTTCCTGAAAGGAAATTCACATTCACATGAAAGGTAATTAATTGATCAGCAGCCACGTGGCTATTCCTTGTGTGTGCAGGGTCTCTAACACCACTCCCAGGTTAGGAGATAAACTGGGTGGACTGGGAGAACTTAGCATACAGTGACAACCAAGGAATGGATAGCTTACATTGTAACACACACCTGCATTGTAAGGTTCCTTTCAAGGAAAAGGTACAAAGCAAAGTCAGCAAAGGGGAAAGGCACAGAGGGCTAAGTCCAGATTAAACCTGTCACAGACTTTCAAGAGTCCTCTCCCAATGTTAAAGCGTCTTTAAGAAGAAAAAAAACGATGAATAACATGAATAATAAAATGGCAGTGTATACATATCTGTCAATAATTACCTAAAATGCAAGTAAATTAACTGCTCCAATCAAAAGATACACAGTGGCTGAACAGATAACAAAACAAGACCCTTAGATATGCTGTATGCAAGAGACTCCCTACAGATGGAAAGACACATACCGATTGAAAAGTAAAGGGATAGAAAAAGATATTTTATGAAAATTGAAACAAACAAGTTAACAAAAAGCTGGGGTAGCAATACTCATACAAAATAGACTTTAAAACAAAGGCTATAACAAGAGACAAAGTACCCAGCAAATCCACTTCTGGGTATTTATCCAAAGAAACCCAAAACACCAAGCCAAAAAAAGGCATATATGTCTATTAATATAGGTTCATTGCAGCGTTATTTATAATAGCCAAGACATGGAAGCTACCTAAGTGACCATAAGTAGATGAGCGGACAAAGAAATGGGGCATATGTACAGTGGAATATGACTCAGCATTAAAAAGAATGAAATCTCGCTGTCTACAACAACATGGGTGGACCCAGAGGGTATTGTGCTGAATAAAATAAGTCAGACAGAGAAATATATATGCCACATGATTCCATTTACATGTGAGTTCTAAAAAAGAAGATAAATGAATAAGCAGAATGGAAACAGACTCATAGACACAGAGAACATTCTGAAGGCTGCCAGCAGGGAGAGGGGTTGGGCAACGGACGAAAAGGTGAAGGGATGAAGATGTGGAACTTGGGCCCTGGCTGGTGTGGCTCTGTGAATGGGCACTGGTGTGTGAACCAAAGGGTCAAGTCTCCGGTTGGGGCTTGTGGGATGCAACTAATTGATGTTTCTCTTCCTCTCTTTTTCCCTCCCTTCCTCTCTCTCTCTAAAAATAAGGAAAATCTTTTTACAGAAATACACAGTGGTTGTTATAGAATGGTCATGGGGATATAAAGTACAGCGTAGGGAAAGCTGTCAATAACATTGTTATAACTTGTGTGTGTGGTGTCAGATGGGTACTAGGTTTATTGGGTGATCACTTTGTAAGTCCTGTAAATGTCTAATGAGCTTGAACACCTGAAACTAATATATTGTACATCACCTATAATTGAAAAATAAAAAATTATTTTTTAAAAAACTCTGAAGTAAAAAGAAAAATGAGTTCTTTTCCAACAGAGTCACGAGAGATGCACTTAATGTCCCCAGGAACAAACTGTTACACCACTGGTGAAGTGTTGTCTACCACG